GACTCAAATTAAAAAAAAACTTTTTGTGACTGAAGGCATGTGCCCCTTTAATTATCTCCATATTTTTCACACGTTCACAATCAACTATGTGTCAACTGCATGCAAGTACAAACAGCCACGTTACAAAGTTTTGCCATAAAATAGTCTAAATATAGGGCTGGTCGGTATACATGTATGTACGTGTACATCATGAACTAAAGAGGGACATATTTTTTCATTTTTTTTAATAACACATTGTACGTCATGTTCAATGTACTTCCTCCATATTGCCAGTGTAAACATGTGTTATTTTTAATACTATCATCTCAAAGAAGTTATATTAGCTTGTGTTCAAAGTGGCATTCAGCTAAATAACTTTTCTATGAATTAATACTGTGTGTAAATACAAGACCAAAGAAATCTAAGAGCAATTAAAGTTGATATCACAATGATAAGAAAAACTGTTATCAGGCAGTGACAATGCTGAGTGCAATATGGTACTTCAGGGGTGACATTGCTCAAGATAAGTCAGCATACAATCACACAATTGTTACTAAGATTTAGGAATAATTTTTTTAGTTTAGTGAGTTTTGAAGATATGAAGATCAAATTTAACCCTTCCATGTATGATTCAATAACATCTATATCCGCATGTAAATCTCATTGTAAACTACATGAGCATATTTTTCCCCCTGTGTCTACTGTCTGCTAATTAGGGCTGCGACGAGTAGTCTAATGCTCGAGTACCCGCACTGTTGACAACTACTCGAGTACAATTTCTCATACTTGAATATTCGGCCGCAAAAAAAAAAAATCCCGGTCACCTGGCACTGTCCAGGCCGAAGCTTAACCGTGCCAGGGAGAGCGTCGGCCGCTGGCATGGTACCATCGGTAAAAATTGTTTCCCAACTCATGCACTGTCAAACTCACCACTCAGAAACTGGGACCAAATGTCCGGATTTCCGTTTGGACTTGGAGGAAAATGGATTATTCTGCCATCTTTGGTTTTTAAAACAGCATTGTTTACTGTTATTATTATTATTAAATCGGCGCCTTCAACTGCAACTCAAAAGTAAAATTGCATGCGTTTTCGGCGATGGACCTGGGATACTGTTTCAGAGGTATGGTGGTGGCAAAAAAAAAATCCAAAAAATTTATTAAAAAAAACATGGCGTCCGAATATTCGAGTATTCACTTGTAAGCCTGGGAGTGTACTCGGGTATCTCATTACACTGTTGTGCACAGCCTTACTGCCAATACATGACTAAATATGAGCTAGAGTTATAATCCTAACCACTGTCTAGCATGATAATTGCTGTTTTATTGCTGATTAGGAGGATTTAAAAGTTCACCAATCAGCTCATCTAATCTTCAATCAAACTCTACATCTACCCAACCTTGAATTATTTTCAGTCTGATTTAAGTCAAACCCTTTGCTTTTCTACAATGTGACAAATGTACTGTTTAATGTTTACTTTCCTTCCAGAAATCAAGTTCTGCGGCCAAGTTAGAAGAAGAACAGAACTATTACCACATTACAGAGCTGCCAACCTTGTGCGACCAAAATAAGGAATCATGATGGCAAAAAAAAGGAATTTCAAGCCAAAAAAAGGAATTCATAAAAAGAACCTTACAACCACGCGCGACACACTTCCAATGCAGAAATGTTCATTCATCATGCTGTTTTTTCCATACAAGCAGGTAATTTTTTGTGTGGTTATTTTGGTATTATCGGCATTCATTTTCTTTTGAGAATATTTTTCTCTTCAAGTATGTTTTAAAATAAGTTTTCTATTGAATTCGTGATCAAATCACCATTTAAGGGCAGTTGTTTGACGTGTGGTATGTAAAAAAAAAAAAAAAAAAAAAAAAAAAAAAAAAAAAAAAATATTAAAAAACGTATTTTATAAACGTAATTTGGAGGAAAAAACGGAGTAATTCCGGCAAAAACGGAATGGTTGGCGGCTCTGACATTATATATGCTTTACCAAGTCACCCTTTTTTCAGAAATGGGGGAACTCATTGTTACCAGGTACTTGTTTAATACGCAACAACAAAAAAACATTTAGAAAATTTAAAATCAATGATCATCATCTAAATGATACATTATTTAGAGAGAATAGGCTTATAGCTTATAAGAAAAATTTCTACTTTTAACAAGGCTTTTAGCCAGTTAACCTATTTCAGAAATGAAATTATGCTACATGTATGGTCTTTATTTAGCTACACTACCATAACTGAATACAGTGCGTATCCCAACTTTGGTAGCTCATAATTAAAAATTCATAACCAATATGACTTTGAAATGTATGTCATGATAGAGAGTAACTTATTTTCTGTAAAATGATACCCTAGTCATAATATTTCTGCCACAGGTAAAGCCTGGGTAATGATATGATTGCAGGGCCCTCAGGGAGAACAGTATGAATACTGATGAGGCTACCCTGGGTAAACAAGACATATTAATATTACCCGGTAATATTATTATCACAGGTTATTGAGCACCAGGGTCTTTAAAAATTTTGTCCAAATTCGCCTTGTACCAAGTTTGGGCTGATAGTACAAATGTGGTCAATGCGGTCAGGCCATATGCACATGCTTCTTTGGTCTTCAATCCTTTTAGAAGTTAAATTTTGTCTTGTGATTTGGTGCTTCATTGTTTAAAATGATGCAATGTATCTAGGCTTGTTTCAATCCATAGAATAGCCCTTTTAAATTATTTTGAACAGCCTGCTACAGTGTAACTTCTTGTCTCATGAAGAAAGAACACATATGATAAGTATCAAAGAAATTGACAATAGATTTTCATATATTAAAAAGATAAATCCCAAATAAACTTTATCAATTTTGTATCACTCAATGAGAAGGGTTACCTCAAAAAAGAGGTGCAAATGAAGTCAAAATTGTAATCATCATAACGAAGAGAATATCATAAATTTTGTGTGTAATAAACATTTCCTTGTGTTTGAGTTGATATCAACACCATTTCTTTTCAACTGCCTCATGCTTAGTAGTCAATTTTGTAAATAAGTGATCAATTGTGTCTGGAATGAGTTAACACAAACATAATGGCTTTTGATCCACATTCACTGCTTTAGGCCAAACTTGGTACAAGAGGATTTTGACAATACGTTTTGAAAAGCCTGCTGCTCAGTCATCCCTGGCAGCACAATTATGAATATGGTATCAATAGACTGGGTATAAGTTACCCTTTATCATGATATATCATACATGCCAACATTTGAAAATCAGAAATCTGTACAAATTATGCTATTTTCAAAAAAAAGAGGAACAATCCTAACTCTCCTAGTATTCAATACTACAGACAAATTTGTACAGGAAGAGGAACACCTGCATTAAAATGATAATTATCTTCTCCCAAAAAGAGGAATGTTCCTCTTTAATCTGAACAGTTGGCATGTATGATATATGATTCAAGGTCACATACATGTAGTTCTTTATAATTAGAAGTTACCAAAGATGTGTACACTTTTTTAATACGCACTGTATATATTGCAGTATATAAGCTTTGCACAGAATATTTAACCCAAACAATGTGACAACATATTTGAGATACAGTAGTTCTACTCATAGAAATGTTAAAGTTCCACACTGGATGCATAAATTTGTATTCCACTTCCCTAACAACAATATTTCATTCCAAATCATCAAAGATAAGTCAATAAACGCAATTGCTTGCCTATATGTATATGTATATCAGCAAACCTACAGATGCAATTTCAAGTAATATGCGAGCCTGGACATTGACTCAATTTTAAGAAAGCAAATTCATTGCAGATATGTTTACACCATCCCACACTCAGTAGACGATATCAAGGGCAGTGTAAACGCATTTAAGAAACAACAAACTCCAAACCAATACAAACAAACTGTTTTATTAATTTTCAGTAAACCAACACCCAGAGACAGAAATTCTATTCTACACACGGAACATCCTGATCTTGTGCTGTTGTGCAGCAAGTGCCTATTCCTTTTTTTTTTAAACAAACAATTTTACTCTAAGGTTGACTAAAAATACTATTCATCAATGTCTTTCAATGACTGATTGATAAGAAATGTTGTATACAGAATCATTGTATTCCAAAAGGAGCATACTGACTAGATAACAACATCATATAAAAAAAGTCGTTGAGAAAGAAGCAAAGTTAGAAGAGGTCGCATGACATGACAGCTGGCGATACACACGATAAGCCCCGCCCAGTTATAAAATTTTGTTTGATACAAATTTCAGAGTCTTCAGACTAGAACGTGCAGGATGTTGATTCTTTATTGAGTTTTCATTCAAATCAATGCTCAAACAAGAATTAAGCTAGCTACGTTTTGTTATACAGTCAAACCTGTCTATAGCGACCGCCCAAGGGAAACACAAAAATTGATCTTTGTAGACAGGTGGTCTTTGTTGTTCCTTTAGTCTACATGTATGTTTCAATGAGAAACCATTTTCAAGGAAACAGAAAATGTGGTCTTTGTAGACAGGTGGTCACTAAACTAGCTTTGGCTGTATTATACAAAGTTAAGATAAGAGAAAATCAATTGCTTATTGTGTAGCTATCCAATGAATCCAATGAATTCTGGTAGTTTAAAGCAGAGTTTTTGCCTTTGGTGGCAAAAAAATATCAATCATTTGTGAGAATGCATGCATTCCAGTGGAAGTAACTGGCCACAGACAACAATTTTTCAATAAATTTGTGTGAAATGAATATATGCACCTCAACTCACACAATAAATATTCTGATAATTGGGGGGGGGGGGGGGGGGAGAGACAAAAACATGTAACTGCAATAACTATTCTGCATTATCCTGTTTATATTTCAAAAAGTTATTTTCAAAACACTTTAAAAACATGGTCTTTATAATAATTGATAAACACAGATTTGGACACTGCACACTCTGGTTATTCTGTTCTACTAACTACTTGTAGTGTAGTCCTACTGCACATTCCTTTAAACAATCAAACACAACAAAAGCAAAAGGTGTTGTAAAAAGAATGTGTCACCTACCTTTGGGCGGACTCAGCAAATGAGATGACATTCTTTGGAACGTTAGGTCAAAAGAAAGTGAACCAAAAACGGGATAAAAGTGAGTGGTGATGGACTGACAAGTCTGACAGTGCAGAGCGAATGAAACATGCAAACGTTCTTCCAACAACTAAAATGGATGAGGCTAGCTTTAGTGGCAACATACGATGAAGAGTAAGTTCTGTAGCATGCTGAGAGTGAGTTGGTGAGTCGGGGACAAGGTCGCTGGGATGCAACCAACAAGCCTACAGATAGGAGAAATGACACAACACAGAGGGATCTTTGAACAATGCATTAGTCTGAAATGAGATGGAACTGAGGGAGAAGATAAATTGTTTGATTAAATTATGCTTTGGAAAATATGGAGAAAATCAAAGGCCAAATCACTGCAACTTGGAAAGAAGATAAATAATGCATCATTAATTAGTAATTTCCTTACATTATACATACAAACAGAAGTTTTCAGTTCAAATAGTATAACAATGGAAGTTGTCTAAAAAAAAATGAATTAATCTAATGAAAATGAATGAGCATATTAAACTTTGTGACACTGGCAGAAATTAAAGCATGCAAAAAAGAAGACAAATGTGAAATAATTTGTGACTTATCACAATGAAAAGAAAAAAAACGATAATCAAATGCCGACTGATATGATCTTAAGATTCTTAACCAACTAGCCCAAAATGTAAGTTTGACATTTTTTAACCCCATAGCTCTAGTGTTTCTTGAGATTTCAGTAGAACAAGGCTGAAACCAGTGATTTCAAAAATTGACCTCTGTGACATTTGACCTTTGACCTATTAACCCCAAACCTGACCTACATGTGTATGTATGGTAATACAATTATCACTAAGTCTGAGCTTCATATCTCAAGTGGTTCTAGATATTTTTTAATAAGAGGCTAATAGCTGGAATTTCATAAGTTGAACTCTATGACCTTTGACCTACATGTAGGTAGGCCTACTCCAAAATCTACTGAGATTGTCTTCTTAAGTTCCTATGGTGAATGTGATACATACTCTCATCAAGTTTGAAGTTCATAACCTATGTGGTTCTTGAGAAATCGCGATAACTGAGACGTACATGTACCACACAATGATGCAAAATGACAACAACAACAATGAAATTAAAATAAAATAAAAGATAAAGTGCCTGTAAAATTTCAAAAGCTCCAAATTTAGGCAATGTTATTTTCAGTCTCCAGATGGCAATGGCATCCTGCCATCCTTCATTCAAAATTTAAATGTTATTTTTTTAAACAATAATTTTGAAGTTCATGTAAAATGGACTGGTAAATTGATGCAGACATAGCATAGAGCTCAAGAAATAACACTGGGCATGTTCACTTCCACACAACAATTGCCTTTGAAAATCATGACACAGCACTATGTAAGTCACCAGAACTTTAACAGACCTGACTAATTCTTGCTCGACACAAAAAGACAAGATTCTGGGGCTACCATGACATGCAGAATTGCAGGAGAGGGGATAAATCAGTGAACAATCACACTTAGCAATAGTATTAAATTAAATTGCAATGCATTCTTTTTAGTTTTTAATGCACAAAAACAAAAGCCAATGGCAAAATGTTGCAGAGCTTTATTTCATCAAATTGCAATGCAAATGATCAATGAGTTAAAGTATGAAAGTGGAATAAATGAAGACTTTACTACATTTCTAATAATTGCCAATTTTGGCACAACAAACAAAAAAGTCTTACAAATACAATAAATCTAACTCAATGACAATGTCTACATTTTGACTACATTACAACATTTCTAGTCTATGACTTTGTCTAAGAAAGATTCTCACTTACATGTGTAGCTCATCTTTTAAAATATAAAATCATGAAATTTAAAAAATACAAAAAATTCAATTAAACCAAACAACAATCCTCTTCTAAATGATTTAACTTGAAAAAAAGAACAAGCGAAATGGCAATATTGTGACATTGAAAACCACTTATTCACTTAGTTAGCTGTACAAAGAAGCCCTTCAATCCAATGCCAATGCAACAGAGACAAAGTCATCGATCAGAAATTGATATCTTCTTTCCATCTCATCAACAACATATTCTTTAATTAAACAGTGACAGGTTAGATCTTGTCAAACTTGATTTGTTAAGTGGGTGTGCACACACATCCGGAACCCAACACCTAATGATTGTCAATGGGAGGTTTCCTATTGACAGTCACATTATACTCATTCATTTTTTTTATAAATCAAAGTTACACATCACTCATCAGATATTTTGGACCAGCAAAGAAGCGACACTAACACTTACAGGTATATCCTATATGAATGCAGGCTCAAAATCTAGTAGAGACATAGACAGAGTATGAGTAGAGACTGTGTAAGTCACTCTAGCTATAGATCTATCTAAATCTAGACCTAAATCAAGACAGATTACACAAAATACAAAACATGTCATGATGATCATGCACCACCCTGCACCCGTACCCGGACCTGTCTATTCATCAAGTCCCACCCAAATTGTTTACAATTCTTATTCCTAGATTTTCTGCTTAGGTCTAGTTGAGCCTTGAGGTTTCTATTCTTGGGCAAGAATTTTTTTTTAGCCATACCAAAGTCTGAGAGGCTTCCAACATCCAACTTTGCTTGCTCCTCCCTTGGTTTCCAGCCCTCAATCAAATTTTGAGGTTATGAGAGTCTGAAGAAGTTGACAAATTGCACGATCACCATTATCACTTTCCCATACAAAATACACGAACACATCCGCTTTAATACACCGTACGGAAACGAACGGTACGCGGCGCGCGGAAGCGATGGGAAAGCTAAGGCCGCCAAGCAAGGAGGTGTCGTCCAAGCTCGATCGAGCGCGAGAGCTACACGAAGAGTCGAACGGTACGCGCAGTCCATTCGTCGCCAGACGGTAGGGGTGAGATTTTCCAAAACAGGGGATCTCTTCATTCGTTCGCGCAGCTGATCTGATGAAAAGGTCCCGATGAGGTCAATCTTCATAGTTCATAGAAAATGAAAACATTATGTAGTATTTTTATTCAATTTAAGTATGTTATAGCATTTATAAAATTTATAATTAATATTTTACTAGTAAAATAATAATTTTAGTCATCAAATGATCCTTGAATTGGTCATTATTTATTTATTTGATAAATATTCTTCAGCAGATTGGCATTTTCTCTCTGGTCACGCACGGTATGTCACATGATAAGCAAAGACGTTGATGTAGACTCTGCCGCTCTGTCTTGTATGTCCGAGACAGTGCAGTTTTCATCGAAAAAGTGGGATCAAGAAGAGTTGTTTTAACTGACTGGAGATAGCATTTCTGAAATGGTAAGGATATTATTAATGGTGCACACATAGATCTAGACACTAAAACTTATGTCTTTTTTTTAATATTATGAATGACGTGAAGTTGAGGAGTAGACGAAGAAGAAGAAGAAGTCGTATTTATCATCGATTGCATGACCAGATGATTGATTTGTTATTTTCATTGACATGACATTCATCTGTTCGTTGACATTTATTGATTCTTTCAATTTTCATCATCTGATTTACCAACCATGCTGTTAGTGTCTGTGTTACGTTAGAATTGACAATAAGATATGTTGATACTTATAAACAGAAAAGTCTGACTGTTTGGTGACCAGGGCTGGGTCTTACGAAACCGTCAAGTTACTCACTAAGTACAGTTGAGCGACATCCCATTCGTCGCTCAACTTGTACTTATGACGGTTTCGTGAGACGCAGCCTTGGTGTTGGATGATTTTTTTTTTTTTAAAGTTTGTCTTTTGCAGGTAATTTGACGCACTCCTCCTACAGAGTACAGTAGAGGCGCTGGTCCGAGAATGAATCGTCGGCATAAATGAGGATGTTTATAGACGTGGACAAATTGCATCCTGCATTTTTGCGGATGTTTTTTTCATCAGCGCTCTGCGGGTTGCTGGTTCCCGAACCGCATGCTGGCGATGCGAAAAACGGATTCCGCTGAAGAAGAAAAAAACAGTTTACCGTCTACTTTTATGGCCATATGGGTTGTCCGTCTTCCCGAGGATTTATCGCTCAGAACGTGAAAGGCTCTGTACAAAGTCTATGTAAAATGCGTCAAGAAAATTATCGCAAAATCTTTTTTTTCGCATCGCCAACGTGCGGAACAGAATCAACAGATATAACATGTGCGGACATGTCTGTCCGCGTTTACGAAGACGATCCTTATTCTTGGACCAGGGCCCCTATTGTCCTAGACCGAAAATGTATGTCTCTTTCATTCGTTAGCCTCTTATTTGGGTAGGCCGGGTCAGCTCCTCTCTTTAGAGACAGAAGCCGACCATAAAGGTCTCCTCACTCTCCTGTGCAAACTTTGTGGCCCTAAAGAATTGTTTCCTTGTTATTGCATTGTCCGAAGCTCCGACATAGGCGCAATCCCCAGTATATACAGACATTAATCCTGCTGCAGAGGGGCATATAAGTAATTATACTTGAATCAAGGTAAATGAGAATGATGAGATAATAATTTGAGTACATTGTAGATGAAAGATTAAACAGCTTACCAGTGCATTTTTTAATACTTTTTAACTTGATAATTTCCCTATTTTTCTCTCTTTTGCAGTCTTCTTTGGAAGAGGGATCAGGCTTTGGAGGGGATGAGCGGTACTGTGTAGTAGGCTCCTTCCCCCAGGAGTTTCACTACTCACAAGAAGGACACAATGGAGAAGTGAAGGTATCCGACTCTGATGCAAGACCAAGAATCTTGCTCATGGGTCTCAGAAGGTACGTGCAAATGCTTATTAATTTTTTAATTGATTAATAGCGCTTGGAGACTTCGGTGGAAAGCGCTTCATAAGCACCGTTTTTATTATTATTTTTATTAACTCTAAGTCCATGTTAGCACCATACTTTACTGTAATACTCGGTTTAATATCGGCAGTCACCCAACTAAACAGTAACATCAACATTTTGATGTAAGCTAATTTATGTAGCATTTCCTCAAATAAACTTGTGATAAAAATGTAAATTCTACCAATAATTGTTTGATTGTATGTAGACTCATGACTCGTGGTAATATGTAGAGTCATGACTTGTGGTTAGAGTAACTTTTGTGAATAACATACAATGGACATGCCAAAAAAACATCTTGCCATTGTTCAAATGTATCCAAAGAAATAATTTAAAAGTTACTTTGTTTTTCTTGTTTAATGCACGTCACAAGCAGATTTCCTTAGGTTTCTTACTTTTCTCCATACCGGTATGTAAATTTTTAGAGTTTGGTTGAATTTTTTATTTATTTTAATTGATGTATTTAGAAATGCTTACAACTTCAGCCACTGAAATGGAGAATTTTAGGAATATCTTTGTATGTAGTGTGTACATGAAGTTGAGAGCAATTCCAAGACTCCTGTGCCATTCAGTGCCAGTTCTTTACATATACTTGCTTCACCTCTGCCACACTTCTAATTACCAATAGAAACAGTTACTATTGTCTGTCTCTGTTCTCTATTTACAGGAGTGGGAAGTCATCAATACAGAAGGTAGTTTTCCACAAGATGTCCCCGAATGAAACATTATTCTTGGAGAGCACCAATAAGATTGTAAAAGACGGTAAGACAAAGTAGCCAAAAGGCCTGTTTTCATCAGCTTGAGTTTGCAAAATAACTCGCTACTTTAACTATCCCGATCGCAAATTAACCAGCTAATTTGCGTCTTCATCAGCCCACAGTTGCAATTGGCGGGATGTTTGTTTACAAATTTTCCCGCTATTTCGGAAATAGCGGGCTAATTTGCGCCTTACTGAGCTAGTTTGTGATGAGCATATTGGTCTGGTGAAGACACAATTTCGAGCTTTGGGATAATATCTGGAGTCTGAAAATAGTGGTTTATTTGGCAAACTCGAGCTGATTAGGACCGGCCTAATGAGAATATATCTGTCAATCATTTCTCATTTTTCTCTCATCTCAAAAGACATCTGTATATTTATATGCCCCAGAACAGGTGCTTAAGTTTTTTATTTTTATTTATATACTTTACTTTGTGAGAAACACTCTGGCCAACCTAGTGTCAGTGGGCCAGGCATTTTTCTTCTCGCTAAATCAAATCCAGCAATCTGGAAAGGTACTCTCTAACTCATTCAGATAAAGTGCTTGATAAAAATGTGTACTATGTTGTGAATCAGAGAGACCTACATTAGCTAACTCTTTATGTTCTGTTTAACGATTGTTTACTGTGCATAGCTCGAAGTGGCAAATTAAATTTTCTCTAGATCAAATCAATTTTTTGATCAAACTATGGAAAATGTCTTATTTACAAATTTTGCATTTTGCAGTCCCAACAGATTTAACTCATGCAGAGTTTATACAAATTTGTCTTCTGAGTTTAATATTTCTTTTTACAAACAAGAAAACATCAAATATTGTAGATTTGATTAAAAATAGGAATATTTGTCATATGTCATTCACACCGCCAAACTGATTACAACCTCAAAGATGAATCGGGGTGATGCACCTTTTTGTTTAATCTTTTATATCTCTGGTCAGTCTGGTGTATATAGTATACAATAATATAATCGTGAAGTGGACTTGATGATAAGAATTCATTATGGACATTAAAAATCTTTATACTATTGTAAAGTATTAACAAGAACTGTTAGCTTGTTTTCGTAAAGAAATTTTAATCTAGCATCTCATTTTTGTATTATTTTTTACTCCTATGGACAGACATCAACAACAGTTCCTTTGTCCAGTTCCAAATTTGGGACTTCCCCGGTCAGATGGACTTCTTTGATCCAGCGTTCGATTCTGAAATGATCTTCGGCACATGTGAAGCACTGGTCTACGTCATTGATGCTCAGGTAAGAAACTGTTTGAGGGGCCATACTTAACCAGAGGGGTGTTTCACAAAGACTAAGATCGACTTTAACTTGGACTCAACTATGGCAGGTCGTTTATGCCCCTGTTTGCTCTCACCATTATGATCTTTAGATAAGATTTTTCCTTTAATAATGAATTATCAAAAAATGTAAGTTCTGTAGATTTGTGACCATGATTTGCTAGACACTTGAAAGACCAATGTCAGTAAATAGGGAGAGCAAATAGGGGCATGAACTGCCTGCCACAGTTAAAGTCCAACTTAAAGTCAATCTTTAATAGTCCATGTGAAACACCCCCTGGGACCGGTTTCTCAAAGTTGTCTCGTGTCTAAGTTTGTGGACATTCCCTTCGGATGAATATAAGTTTTAGAGCTCTTATTTCAATGGCAGTGACCCCAGTTCTTAAAATTTGATGGTTTCAAAAAACCACCCCCTCTATCATAGAATCATAGACTATAATTTTTTTTTTTAGATATTCCTTTAAGTTTTTCCAGCTGCTTAGAACAGATTCACAGGTTCAATTAAAATGTCAAACCATCTAAGAAATGCCAGTAATCAGGCTTTTTGCTCTCGGGCTTCCTGTTATTTGAAAGATGCACAGCTTCATCGTATCTTTAAAGGATTATTGGATTAAACCAACTGGAACTCCCAACAATTAATCTTTTACTAGAATGCATGGGTGAGGAAATGCCAGCGCTATAAAAGTAAACATTGTTCACACTTCATAAAAGTGTGAAATGAGCAAAAACCTGTGGCAAAGTATATCTTTGACCTTTGAAGGCAATGTTTAACAATGTCAAATCTGAGATGCATGACCCTACATGTTATCAGTGTCTATAATATGGTGTAATATTGAAGCCCTAAAAAATTGCACTTCAAAATGATCATGAAGTGCCTTAAAAATGTGAAAATCTTTGAGTGACAGGTTTTACCATACTCGTTTCCCCCAATAGACTGTAGTGTTATGAAAAACGTTCGGCAAACGCAAAATTTGATTTCGATTTTCAATCATAAATATCTTGATAATCAGACAGGCCATCGGCTTGTAAAAGTCATGGGGTTCCTGACTGACCTAAAGGTTTATAATTATGATTGCAGCATGAGCTGAATCCAGGATTTTGTTTCAGAATCTGAGGCAATGTTACTGAACTGAGTCACTTTAAACTTATGCCCTCAATCATGTCTAGGATGACTACATGGACGCCCTTGCCAAGCTCCACGTGACCGTCTCTAGAGCCTACAAGGTCAACCCCAACATCAAGTTCAAGGTTTTCATTCACAAGGTGGACGGCCTCTCAGACGATCACAAGATCGAGACGCAACGAGACATCCATCGGAGAGCCAACGAGGATCTGGCCGATGCAGGGCTGGAGTGTATTCATCTAAGGTATGGTGTTGGGAATCTGTTTAGATTTCATTGCAGTGGTTTCTTTTCACATACTTTTTACTGAATTTCTTCTTATTTTGTAGAGATAGCCACTGAGCATTAATGGTAGAGATTGGTTCCACCCACTCATTTTCATAAGAAAAGAAGTAAATGAATTTTTCAATATGAACATCACAAAGTCATTCCTTATGTATCGCCTGTTTGCAACTAAATAATTTAAATTTGTAGCACATAGGCCACTTAAAAGTGCCTCTCATATTACCCTTGAACCACCAATACACTTTCATAAAGCATGTTGCAGTAAAAGTATTCTATGTCTTACACATCTTGCATATAATAGTTAAGCACCTGTATTTCATTTAGTATTTAAAAGAAGAATTTTTTTTTTCTCACATCCTGACCAAGCAAATTAGTATGAGAATTTGTGGTAAATGATCAAGTGAGTACAGTGCCTGTAACCTTAGTTAGTGGTGACCCTGTATTTACTATTTTTTTCTCATCAAAGATATGGGGTTAGAGTTGCAATCAGGTTGGGAGTTATGAGGGTCAGGGTTAGGGTTAACTACCGGTATAGTGTTTTTGTCCAGGGTTGAAGTTCAGAAGCTGGTTCATTTAAGACGGTGAATGTGAAGTAATTCTCACCGTAGTATATGTCGTTGAAGTTAACTGACATTGCACATCCATTTTTAATGATCCTGTTTCCTTTCCATTTTGTTATCCTCTCTTAGTTTCTACCTGACGAGTATCTACGATCACTCTATCTTTGAGGCTTTCAGTAAGGTTGTGCAGAAGCTCATCCCTCAGCTGCCAACCCTGGAGAACCTCCTCAACATTCTCATTTCAGTGAGTGATTAGGCTCAAGCCCCTTCTTCACCACAGAAAGACCCCTAAGAAAGCAAAGCTTATTAGGAGAGGCCCTGTACAAATATAAAGAAATAGATTAATATACCTGCCAACCCTTACGAAAAATCTGGAATATTCTGATTTTCTGGATTTTTAGGACCTGAAAATTGTGCCGTGATTTGAGAGTTCACGTGTTGCGTGCATTGGATGGCTGCATGATCGAGCAGCGAATTTGTTTATTGCTTTTTAGTACAGATTTACCACATATTGCCGGTTACACTGCCACTGCAAGTGCGATTTTTTTTTTTTTTTGAAGGCATACCGTGCTAAAAATTCCTAATTCTTATTTTCAAATGTTGGCAGGTATGTAACATAAATGAAATTGCTTATAAGTATCGGCTTGCATGGTGATGTAGATATACAGTAGGCTTACGGTTGCACCATGTGAGAGAGAGAGGGGGAGGATTGGGTATTTCTTATAAGGATTGTTGGTAATCTTTCTTTCTTGAGTGTATGTGTAGTCCTGAAAAGGACTGTTTTCAGGACTGTGAAAAGGACTGTAGTACTGACAACGGATAGTCAACCTGTCACACTCAAAAGAGAAAGATTACTGACAGTCCACTCAGGATTCCCCAGTCCTCCCCCTCTCTCTCATATGGTGCAACCGTATGCCTACTGTATATAAATGAAATTTGAATAAAATTAATCAACAGGCAATAGTAGGGAAAAATCATGAAAATTAAATGATAGTATTTTAGATGATATGGTCAAAAGAACTATTGACAATAACACATGGTATGGCTAAAGATGGATAACGTCTTTAGAAGTCTTGATTAGATGCATGGGCCAGTTGGTAAGGGTATGTTGTCGATCATAAGTTTTTCTTAAAGGGATTGGGTATCTTTGCCTCAGATTCTTAACAAAATCCTGGATTTAGCTCATGCTGCAATCATTATTATTAACCTTTAGGTCAGTCAGGAATCCAATGACCTTTACAAGCCGATCACCTATCAGATTATCAAGATATTTATTAACGGAAATCGAAATTTCAAAAAACGTTTTCCCAACAGTTTTTATAACACTACTGTCAATTGGGGAAAATGAGCATGGTAAAACCGGTCACTCATAGATTTTTACTTTTTTGAGGCACTTCTTGGTCATTTTGAAGTGCAATTTTTTTAGGGTTTCAATATTACACCATATCACAGACGCTGATATCACGTAGGGCCATGATTCTCAGATTTGTAAAACCAGAAACATTGTTAAACAATGCATTCAATTGCTATTTACCTTGAACAGAACTCTGGGATAGAGAAGGCATTCCTCTTTGATGTTGTGAGTAAGATCTACATCGCCACAGACAGCTCTCCTGTCGACATGCAGTCCTATGAGTTATGTTGTGATATGATTGATGTCGTCATTGACGTCTCATGTATCTATGGGTAAGCTATTAATCATAGTTGCATTTATATAGGCAGCTACTATGCAAACACACTCTTCTACACTTAAAGAGAGGGTCGAGTTCTTCAAAGAGGTGAAAAATAATTTGTGAGCGTTATCATTGTTATTATGCAAGTGTGGCAGAACATCAGATATAAAAGGTTCCCTGAAAAGCATGGCTCTTCAAATGCCTTCATACTCTAAATATGACAAGTAACATCATAAAAATCGGGACAGATTTTTACGCCACATGTTCGGATAGTCCCATATACATCTTTCTGTGTATAGTGCTTGTAACTTTACCAACACTGTGCCAAATTTCTTATCAGCTTGACGATTCCAGAACCTTGCAGTACACACCAATACTTATATGCTAGATGATAAACCTTTTCGTGTAGATTCCACAGTGGTTCTTTCACAATGCAACCACATGACCAGAACTCAACTTTATCTTTAATTAATAGTAGCATATTACTACCCCAGATTCAGGTGTATAGGCTGAGTACAGCCTTCCGCTTTGTGAGTTTCCGGGTGTGGAGAACATCAAATTACAAAGTAGACTTAACAAAAATATGTTCATTTCAATGCTTCATTTACTGTAAAACCATAAACATTCACAAATTGAATTATTCAGGAATGTGTAATGATCAACCTTATCGTGGCAAGAAATTTTTACAAATTGCACAAGTTTAGTGGTGTAATCGTTATAAACAAATCCTGTTTCAGGCATGAAAGTTTCACAAATCTGGATCACTTGCATTTCCTGCCAAATGAAACACAAACAAAAGTAGATTATCCTGGGAATACTAATTAATTTTTGATGTTTTTGTACTTTTTTGTAATCCTAAACATTGTTTATCCAGTGTGGAGAGAGAAGGAGATGAGAGTGCGTACGACTCTGAGTCTAGCTCCATCATCAAGCTCAACAATTCTACTGTACTCTACCTGAAAGAAGTCAACAAATTTCTTGCCCTAGTGTGTTTACTCCGAGAAGATAACTTTGACAGACAAGGTAAGCCCAGGTGTCATTGCAAGTGCTCTTTAGGAGTGTGGAGGTGCATAAATGATGTTGAAGGCCTGTGAAGAAACAAAAATAATGAAATGTCTATGAAACATTGTTTTTGTTCTTTAAAGCTCAAAGAAAGTGAGGTGATTGTCTCATTTTGCCAAATTATCTCAAAATTACTTATTTTAAAGAAGGTTCACATACTTATTTCTCTAAGTTAGGATGATATTAGTTTTTAAATAGATTTTAGATTGTAGCCCCCCCCCCCCCCCACCTACCTCTGTAAGAAAATGGTAAAGGTACCTTGAAAAAAAATAAGATTTTGCTCCACCCATTTGAAGAAATGTCATGGATATTGTGTAATACAGCTAACAACGAAATTATTTGTACCTTTACCAAGCTTCGTAATTTTTTTTTCAAGTATGTGAAAAATTGATTTGTCCCGATTTATGTTTCCTGAGAATGTGACATGTTAAAGCTTTAAAGATAAACTTTAGTACTGGTAATGCGATTACATTGTGAAAGAAAAGGTGTGGGAAGGATCAGAAACAGTTGATCATGTAGCATGTAAGTATTGGTGTGCACTGCAAGGTTCCGGAGTCATCAAAGTCATAATAAATTTGACCGAGTCTTGGTAAAGTAACAAGCACTCACATAGAAAGCTATATATGGGACAACACACATGGTGTCGGGGCTAGTACTACCTTGATTTCCTTGTCTTTCTATGCTCATTACTCAGCCAGTATACATTTTCTTTCAAAATTGTTTGGCACATGTCATTTATTTGTAATCTTGAACATTCAGTGTAAGTTTCGTTTGATTCTGTGAGAATTAATTTTTTTTTTTTTTACCAGTACTGGAGTTTATCTTTAAGCTTACATCTAAAATTATTCATCAAAGGCCCTGATTCAACCAGGCCACCTTTCATTCTTGAGTTACAAAAAACACAAAAAACATCAAATTGACAAGAGGTATGAACAATTAAGTAATTAACTGTATGTCCAACATGGCTGATTTTAATTCATTATATCATCTATGATTCATTAAAGAGAGAAATGGGCGCAAATTTGAAATATTGTAGTGTATTATTCAGCTTCTAATTGATGTTACTCTTGTGTAATTTCTACAGGTCTGATAGATTACAACTTTCTCTGCTTCAAGAAGGCCATCGAGGAGGTGTTTGCAATCAGGGAGAAGGCCAACGGAGTGGAGAGAGGCGCAGACTATGCAGCATTAACAAGTGACTCTCTAGACAACACCCAAGCTAATGGACTCGTGGCAACAAAATCATGAAAGCAGACACCACCTGCAACAAATTATCCATGACAAACTCATGAGCCATCAATCTTCTGGCAGTGAAATCATGGGAGTGGTCACTCCTGGAAAACTGGTGACCTATCCTCGAACTAATGGACTTCTAGGAGCAAAATAATGGGAGCAATCAATTCTGTGAAAATAAGTCATCATGGAAAAATCCACAGATCAATGGACTTTTGGCGGTGACGTTATGACAGCTGTCACTCAGGTTAAGCAAGTGACCACGGGGACAATCCACAAACAATGGTCATCAAACAACAAAATTATAAGAGTGGTCTCCTCTTTGAAGGAAGTGACTCCTGAAAAGTCTGTGATCAAGGAATGAAACAAAAAGTTGTTATCAAATCTTTGCAGAACCCATCATTTGCTGTGTTTAAAGCGGGACTGCACTTCTTGTAGCTACTTGCCCCTCTATATAGCCAACACTGCCTAAGCGGTACCTGTTGGTCCCCCATGGTCCCCTTTTTCTTTTTTTAATTGAGAGCTGATTTGATGAGATAACCACTTGCCAATGACCGAGCAGGGAGGTCTAATCCCTCTGGTATTGCTGATAGGCTTTAAGAAGATTTGAGAAGGTTAACGTGCTCAAAGATTCAGGCTTGTGTGTTGTACCCTTCAGCCTCGAAGATCTGATAGGATGGCAGTAGTTTAAGAATTGGCAAACTTTCCTGCAGTCTCTCTTTAAATTGGCATGTGTGCATGGTACAGTCAAACCTGCTTTAGGGACCACTTGCATCGAAAGTCCACCTGTCTATAAAGACTACTAGAGTGGTCTTTATATACAGGTTTAACTGTAACAAGATAACTATTTCATGGACCCCTTGATTTTATTTACGGATTTGTTTGAAACCCATTTGGTGCTGTATATCTGAGTACTTACAAGATTGTTCCTGAAAGTGTTTTGTGAACAGAAGTGAAAGAACTGCAAACAAAGTTACCGCCATTGCGTAGGCTATTAAACAAGGTGGTTTGTGTATTAAGCTTATGGGAATGAAAGGTTGATTGTCTACTTCTTAAACTTCTCACTTGTCATTTCTGAATATCATAATTTTGTCAGCATATGAATTCAATTTAAAAACAGAGAAGCAAATCTTGAATGTATTTATCGTGATCAAAAGTCAGAATTGTGTTGCACATAACAGGAACATTGAAGACACTCGAGACAGTCTAAGAATTTGCCGTAATTGTCCTTTTGAAAATTATATTGCAGAATGAATCTGAGAGTGTTGTAAGAAACCATTTGTACATATTATGCAAATTTATAAAAATTTTATATATATATATATGTGAGAAAAGTATGCCTGTTTTGCATTTGTAAGTAGATAACCATGTGTAGAATGAGGTGTACCTATAAAGATGAAGTCCAATACTTTTCTGATAGAACCATTTGCTATTCTTTGTTAAGAATTATTTGATTAAGTTGTATGCACTCTTGAGTCTTGAATGCATTGAACCTATTTATTCTGTTCTAATATCCAATATATTGCTTACATACGTGTTATCTCCTTTTTTGTGAGTTTGAGTTTGGATTAATTTCTGTGAAAGATACTGTGAACCACAAACTTATTTGCATGAGGCTTTCACATGAAACTATTGCAGAAAGAAATAGCGCTGCATATAGGCAAACATTTCATGCCACACAATTATTGAATTATAATATGTAATTTATTCAATTTTGCAGGAGTTTCTTGCTGCCAAAATGGCCTTTGTTGACAGCTTGCTAAATTCTCAATCTGTGAAATTGTCTGGTTTCACAGTAATCAGATTTGCTTGGCGTAGACAGCTGAAATACTAAATTTCAAAGAGAAACATAGGATTACTATTACTTTATACCATAGTTAAAGGATTGTTATTATTACAACTATTTATTCAATTATAGTGTAACTGTTTAATGAATACATGCATATTCCTACCTTAAGAAAAACAGTATATTGTTTTTCAATATATTTTTTATTAATGGTTTGTTAAACTAATATATTCAAGATACTAAAATTTCAACAAGATGGAACATACAAAAGGCTTTAAACCTTTTATTTGTTATTCATGATAGTATTAATGTAGATTTTTTTTCAATATCCATGAAATTTATAAATATAAAAAGAAGTCTGTTCTAATGAGCAAGTGCTTGAAAAATGACACAATTGCTGTGATTATAGGAGAAATAAATTCCTGGGAAAGTTTTAAAAGTGCAATTCATCACTCCTTTTTCTCTGTATTAGTAGTACAGAAAGTCATAGGATTTTGTAGTTAAATTTCTGAGTTTTATCACAACTCTGCATATGTTGTCTGTTTATTTTGTCCATCTTTTATTGTCTCTTTTAGAGAGAAATGTTTCCTTCCTCATTCTTCTCTTAAATCCATGATATTTTGCATGTTCTACTTACTTTTGTTTTTCTATGTTATCATTGTTTTTTCTTTCGTTTTGATGTATACTCAAGATACTTTATGTCCCTTATGTGCTCTTTTGCTTTTACAGTAGTTAATGTGCTGAATACTAACAAAAAAGAGAGATGATGAAATAATACTTGGACTACTTTTTGAAAATGTGTGTGAAGTGAAAACTAAATTTTCTCCAACAGGATAAAGTAAATTACCTCATCCCCCCACTATCAATATGTGGTATATTCATGTTCTTCTGAGCTTACTTACAAGCTCTGAACATGACTTATATACCCTTATTTGGCCTATCTATGATTATTGATGAATTCAGCGAGTTTTTTTTAATCACAAATGTTTGGATTTTAAAATCCTCTATATTCACTATAACATTATTGCACTTTGAAGTCTTCAGTAAATTAACGTAAGGACAATTTGTGTACCCTACTTTATCGCCAATAGAAATCATGTCTGGGCTATGTGTTTCATTGTCATATCTGCACCTTTCAAAAGGTAATGCACAGGTCTGAAATTGCTATTTGGTTGGATTTTTTTAGTCTTTTCAATCACTTTGTGTTTTAAATGGGCCATTTACCATGATCATCAAAATTTATGTGCTAAACCGGTGATTTTGACTACTCTACTGATTTTTGTAAAGGGACAAATTTGAGACAAGTCATTGTGAAAATGTTTGTTTTTCATTGTTGATAATCTTTCACATGATCTGCTTACCAATGCAGCAATAAGATGTACACATTTTGTATAAATAATTCATGAATATACATAAGGTTTAAGTTTTGTACAATTTTAGTGTAAAAATCATTTATTGTTAATAAAAGAAGGGAAAACGAGAGAAGGAACAATATATGATTGAAAGTCTATTTTATTTTGTGTAGTAGAAATCATGGCAATGTGACAATTTTGACAAATGGATGTGACCACTGTCATCCAAAATGATACTCCCACTCATTGTAGGTGATGGTGATTGTGGTAGTGGTGATGGCGGATCCAGGGGGGACCCAGGGGGGGGGGCCTGCCTCCCCCCCCCCCCCTGGAAAAAAAAGTGTAAAAACAGGTAAATTTTACCTTTTTTTGGAGATGGGCCCCTCCCCCCCCCCCCCTGACGCTCAAAGGAGGGGAGGGTGCAATTTTTCAAATTTTTGAGGGCCCCCCCAAAAAAATTTAGTGCTCACTACAACCAATTTCAAATTGATTTCAATTTTGGGCCTCCCCCCCCCCCCCCCCTAAGAAACCCTGGATCCGCGCCTGGGTGGTGGTGGCTGGGTGATTGAGAGAGGAAGGAGGAAGAAATAGAAGAAGAAAGATAGAGTGGAGAGGATAAGAAGGAGGGAGTTGCTATGATAAAATGATCGGCAGTGAGCCACGATTCTTGGAAAATATATTCACACATGTTTTCTCGCTGATACGTTTAAAAATAACAACCTATTAAAATGGATGGGAAAATAATAGTTAATTATAAACAAAACACAAAAACATTGGTCAAGCTTTTAAAGTCACAGGATATTATCGAGACAGATTACATTTATCATATCGTAATTAATACAGGGCTGTCAACCCTCCTGCATTTGGATGGAGAGTCTCCCGCCACCAGGCGCGGATCCAGGATTTCTTAGGGGGGGGGCCCAAATTTGAAATTATGCGAGCCAAATATTGGTACGTAATGGCGACCAGCAGTGACGTAATTGGGGGGGGGGGTGCAGGGAGGGGCGAGTTTCCCCCAACCTCCTCCGCGAAGCGCGGAAGCTTTGATATTTCATTACATTATTAGAAAAAGGAGACGATTCGTTGTACCGTTCCCAAAAAAATCCTCGTCTGAATTATGTTTATGAAGCGCGGAAGTTTTTACGTTTCATTAAATCATTAGCCAAAGAAGACGATTCGTTGTACCGCTCTCGAAAATAATCCTCGTCTGAATTAAGTTTCCCCCCGGTCCCTGCGCGAAGCGCGGAAGCTTTGACGTTTTATTAAATTATTAGAGAAAGAAGACGATTCGTTTTACCGTTCTCGACTCTTAATCTTCGTCTAAATTCAGTTTCACCCCTCCCGCGCGAAGCACGGAAGATTTTACGTTTCATTAAATCATTAGAGAAAGAAGGCGATTCGTTGTACCGTTCGCGACTCTTAATCCTTGTCTAAATTCAGTTCCCCCCCCCCCCCCCCTCTCGCGCGAAGCGCGGAAGCTTTTACGTTTTATTAAATCATTAGAGAAAGAAGACAATTCTTATTACCATTCTCGACTCTTAATCCTTGTCTGAATTCAGTTCCACCCCCGGTCCCTGCGCGAAGCGCGGAAGCTTTTACCTTTTATTAAATCATTAGAGAAAGAAGACGATTCGTTGTACCGTTCTCGACTCTTAATCCTTGTCTGAATTCAGTTCCACCCCCGGTCCCTGCGCAAAGCGCGGAAGCTTTTACGTTTCATTAAATCATTAGAGAAAGAAGACGATTCGTTGTACCGTTCGCGACTCTTAATCCCTGTCTAAATTCAGTTCCCCCCCCCCCCCTCTCGCGCGAAGCGCGGAAGCTTTTACGTTTTATTAAATCATTAGAGAAAGAAGACGATTCGTTGTACCGTTCGCGACTCTTAATCCTTGTCTAAATTCAGTTTCCCCCCCCCCCTCTCACGCGAAGCGCGGAAGCTTTTACGTTTTATTAAATCATTAGAGAAAGAAGACGATTCTTATTACCATTCTCGACTCTTAATCCTTGTCTGAATTCAGTTCCACCCCCGGTCCCTGCGCGAAGCGCGGAAGCTTTTACGTTTTATTAAATCATTAGAGAAAGAAGACGATTCGTTGTACCGTTCGCGACTCTTAATCCTTGTCTGAATTCAGTTCCACCCCGGTCCCTGCGCGAAGCGCGGAAGCTTTGACGTTTTATTAAATCATTAGAGAAAGAAGACAATTCTTATTACCATTCTCGACTCTTAATCCTTGTCTGAATTCAGTTCCACCCCCGGTCCCTGCGCGAAGCGCGGAAGCTTTTACCTTTTATTAAATCATTAGAGAAAGAAGACGATTCGTTGTACCGTTCTCGACTCTTAATCCTTGTCTGAATTCAGTTCCACCCCCGGTCCCTGCGCAAAGCGCGGAAGCTTTTACGTTTCATTAAATCATTAGAGAAAGAAGACGATTCGTTGTACCGTTCGCGACTCTTAATCCCTGTCTAAATTCAGTTCCCCCCCCCCCCCCTCTCGCGCGAAGCGCGGAAGCTTTTACGTTTTATTAAATCATTAGAGAAAGAAGACGATTCGTTGTACCGTTCGCGACTCTTAATCCTTGTCTAAATTCAGTTCCCCCCCCCCCCTCTCACGCGAAGCGCGGAAGCTTTTACGTTTTATTAAATCATTAGAGAAAGAAGACGATTCTTATTACCATTCTCGACTCTTAATCCTTGTCTGAATTCAGTTCCACCCCCGGTCCCTGCGCGAAGCGCGGAAGTTTTTACGTTTTATTAAATCATTAGAGAAAGAAGACGATTCGTTGTACCGTTCGCGACTCTTAATCCTTGTCTGAATTCAGTTCCACCCCGGTCCCTGCGCGAAGCGCGGAAGCTTTTACGTTTTATTAAATCATTAGAGAAAGAAGACGATTCGTTGTACCGTTCGCGACTCATAATCCTTGTCTGAATTCAGTTCCACCCCCGGTCCCTGCGCGAAGCGCGGAAGCTTTGACGTTTCATTAAATTATTATAGAAAGAAGACGATTCGTTGTACCGTTCTCGACTTTTAATCCTTGACTGAATTTAGTTCCACCTCTCCCTCCTGCGCGAAGCCCCCGGAAGCTCAGGGTTTTTAGGCGTTTAATTACCGTCAGATGAGCATTTTTTGATACCTTATTATTTTGTGACACTGGCAGGACACTATTTGGCGTGGGGTCTAGGGGGCAGAGCCCCCTGAAATGAGGGGTTTAAGGCATTAAATTACCGTCAGATGAGCATCTAAGGGCCCGCCTTAGGGCCCTAGGTGGAATCCAGGGGGCAGAGCCCTCGGGGTTTTAGGCATTTAATCATGGTCAGATAAGCATATTTTGATACCTCATTATAATGTGACACTGGCAGTTAACTATTTTTTCTTTCTTGCTCTCTTTCTTTCTATTTCTATTTTTTTTTTTTATATATTTTTTTCAAAAAAAGTGGGGAAGGGGGAGGATGGAGAGGGCTCAAGGATCCCGATTCCCATCGTTCCGCGGGCCCTGACATGTAGACATCTCAAAAAGCATTTTCTTGACTGGCTGTAAATTTAGGAATTTGTCATTTTCCAACAAACGCATATAAAAGTATAATTTACTTAAAAGTCAGGAAAAATCTCGGAAAATTATGTCATTTCAGCTAATTTTTTTTAAACGACTGTTATGGAATTAGAAATAACCCACGTTTGAATTTCCCCAAAGCCCCCCCCCCCCCCTCCTATCAGTACGCCAGTGCCGCCGCCCCCGATCTAAACCTTGTTGGCGGGAAAATTGCAACTGATATCCCCTTCTTTTCTTTTCTTCTCCCTCTTTTTTCCTTCCCTATATCTCCTCTTTTTTCTTTTTTCTCTCCCTTTCCTTCCTTCTCTTTTTTTTCGATGGGGGGGGGGGGGGGGGGGGGGGGGACAACAGCCCGGGAGGAAAGTCCTCCCCCCCCCCCCGATCTCCTTCTTCTCTCTTTTCTTTTCTTCTTCCTCTTCTTTTTTCCCTTTCTCTCCTCTTTCCCTTTCCCTTCTTTTCCTTCTCTCTCCTTTTTTTTTTTTTTTTTTTTTGCGGGGGGGGGGGGGGGGGCCAAGGCCCGCTCGGCCCCCCCTGGATCCGCGCCTGCCCGCCACCACACACTTCCTCCCGCTCTCCCGCAAACGATGTAGAATCTCCCGCACCAAAATAAAACGTCTTGTATGCTGTTGAGTAAAAAAAAAATATATATATTTTTAGTGCTCACTACCCCCCCCCCCCCCCCCCCCCCCCAGCAAAAAAAATATGCATGCGATAGGGTACGCTGGTTTGTCTCCCTCAAAGCAGTTCCTCAAATTTGACAGCCCTGTTAATATCTTAAAATTATAGTCCTATGGAATGCACCGTCACCACTACTATACTTCCTCCAAAAACAATGAGACAAATCAAACTCGCAGGAGAAGTACATAGCATTGAGCCAATAATTCAGATGAAAAACATGAAATTGTTTATTCATGAATACTTTTCATTACATTTACAGGACACAATTTATTTAAAAAATCCAAGTTCAGCCTAAATTCAAAATTATACAAAAACGAGGAGACAATTGTTATCTTGAATGAGCGAAACATACTGTTGCCCATGAAGTTAAATTACTTTTTTTCTTAACTCTTAATTTTAACGTTATGATTGTAAACAATGTGGTTTATTCTCGATAGATAAAGATTATATCTTCTCAGAACTTTATTGATCAATATACATGACTCGATATTTTTGCATTGATCACTTCATGAAGAGAGATCACAAATGTATTCCATTTTGGTAAACTACATGGGGTATGGACTATGTTGCGTGTTAACTAGTAATCCCACATAATTCCCTTTTTTAATTAAACTACTAAAAAGCAGTATCCCTCCAGACAAGAAAACACTTAATAAATGATCACATCCAGACAAATTGATTATGGTTAAAAACTGGTTCTATATTCTATAATTTCACATAAGATACAATGATTACAGAATTATCAGAAACCTCTTCTGTCTATCTCAACAGTGACAGACAATTAAACTATCACTAGGCCCTTGGTAGTTACTATTAATAATCAAACATAGATAACTTCCAACAGCACATTAATGTAAAGGAGACTCAACTTAGTCACTATGGTATTAATGATTACCGCTGAATACAAGTCTCGA